GAAAAATACAGACAAAAAACGGTTCTCACTTGTAGGTGACAGTGGCCTTCTGAGTGGACGGATGAAACCTCGGATATCACTGTGTGCGTTCCTGAAAAGATAAAAGGCACTCAATATAATCAAGATTTAGATAGTTGCATGTGAGTCTAACGCATACCTGAAGTGTGTGGCAAACTCTCTACGGTGGAAGGTGTGGCCACAGAGGAAGGTGAACGCACAGCTCGCTCTGTTGTTTCTGCTGTTTACGCTCTCCGCCTGAAGCTGCAGGAGAAGCTTTAGCGGCCGGTCCACCATCACCTCTGCCAGGGTCGTCTTCTGTTTGAAGGGAGCTTTGCGGAAAGTATGTGTCTGTGTTCCAATATCTACATAGAACCCGTCTCCTCCATTTGTCTCACTGATCTGGCAAAGAAAAATATCATTTACCTATTGCAATGATTTCAAATTCCAGAGAATAGTTTTCATACCTTGTGACCCATAATTGCTAATTCAGCATAGCCAAGGAGGGTTGCTGCAGCTTCATCGGAAAACCAGTCTTCTTCATTGGCTCCAAGGTCTGATGTGTCCACACTTTGATGTTCAGTCTTTGCCCGTCCAGTGGTCTCGTAATAATGAACCCTCCGCTTGTATCGATAACTTACAGGGGCCTGCAAGAAAAGAAAAATCCATTACATTTTCATAGATACTGTAGATGAGATTGGTGGAAATTAGTGTTGCGCCGATGCCATTTTTTGGCCCCGATACCGATACCTGATACCTGGCTGTGCATTATCGGCCGATACCATAATAATGTAAATAAATTGCCATTATGGCTTTTTTATCAAGCTGCTGCCTACCTTTGTGAAGCAGGAAAAAAATCTAATAAAAAGTGAATCCAGTAGAACTTTTTATTGCCTACCAGGAGTGGGTGACAATAGTTGAATAAACTTATGGCTCTCAAAATGGTATCGGTGCCCTATTTGTTGGTACTCGCCGATACCGATACCACCACTTTAGGGCAGTATCGGGGCCCCGTCCGATACTCGGTATCGATGCAACACTAGTGGAAATGTCATCCATTGGGAAACACAAGTGAAGCAACAACATTTTTGTCCCTGTACATCCAAACAAAATATTTGTTTCTGATTGCATTTCTTCTTTTTTTCTGCTTCAACTCTTGGCTTTCCCTTCTCAGCTCGCTGCCCTTCTTATTCTCAGCTGTTTCTGTTGTTTCCACCTGATCCTCTCACCTGGTTGTTATGCTTTTCTCTTCACTCATAAGCTCTCTGGTTTTCTACTCTCATTACTGACTACTTCTGTTATTCTGCTTCTTCTTCCATACCAGTGGTATGTCCTATTGGTGTTGTTTATGTTTCCTATGGCCAAAGGATGCACCATAGCTCGTTAGCCAGCTGCTTAGGGCCAGTATATTATAATAACCAGATAGTCCATGCTGATACAAATCAGAACCAACTTCACCGAGGGTGTATGATTACGGCTGTGTTTTGAAGTGGCCCAATGCAAGAAGAGACGCAGCATTAAAGCTGGACATCATGTTTGCCATGGTCTTGGTTCTGTTGTGCTTTACTTTGCTCCTTGTTTTATAGTTTTACTGGTTTAATTCCTATTTTGTTGTAGTTTCTAGATTTGTTAGTTCTCAGGTTTTTCTGTTGTTGTCCTCTTTTGCCCTCTTGTGTGTGTTTCTTTCCCCTTGGCTTCCTCGTTGTCTCCTCTCACACCTGCTCCTTATCTGCTCGTTAACCCTGCCTATGTCTCAGTCAGCTACATATACTCTCCCTCTGCTGTCACTCTTTGTTGGTTCCTTGTCTTTGCTGTCTTGCCATGCTGTTGTCCGCGTACCTCGTCTCTCCCTGGCTCCTCGTGTTTGGTTTCCTCAGATGTACCCTTGGTTCTGGTTTGCTTTACATTAGTTGGATTTTTGGATACCTGCCTTTGTTTACTGTTTCTCTCCATTAAACTGCAAGAAATCTCCCCAGCCTCTCTGCCTCTGCATTTGGGTTTTCAAACCTCAACCAAAACCTTGACAATGTTAAATTTGGTGCAATCTCTGGAACCATGGTCCATTTTTTGTGGTGAAAAGGACTGCATCCCTCTTCAGAGATACCACTGAGCTGATAAAGGCAGCTTTGGTGATACGCCTGTTTCAATACAATTGTTGATTTTTGTCAAATCTCCACCAATCAATCGACCAAGATAGCACCCGGTTCCTGTCCTGGGCAGACATGTATCTGGTGTTGCCTTCTGCACTGTAAGCGCTTCTGCCTTGTGGTTATCATCTTAGCATTGCTGCTAACTCACCAGCAAAAGTGTCAAGTAACAAAGTACATATACTTTACTCAAGTAGAAATTTTGCCTATCTATACTTTACTGGGGTAATTCCTTTTTAGACAACTTCACTTCTACTTCTGATATTTTTTTTGCAACTTTCTGCTCCTTACATTTTAAAAAAGACTTGTTAGTTTTGTTTAATTTAACCCCATTGTCATTATGGCTTTTTGGTATTAAAAAAATTAAAACCATCTAAATAAATTGTTTCATCCAGAAAATAAATGTCTTGGTGCTTTGGTTGGATAACAACATGACAAAATAAATGATTTTTTAAGATTATGCAAAGTTACATTTGACACCTTTACTGTAGGAGCCTAAATTCAGTTTAAGTTAAGATAAAAGAAATCATTAATAAGTTACAGTAAATATCAGAGAGTAAAAGGTTCTCATATGTAAGTATGTTCAATATTTCTAATTGTACTGAGGTTCTTTTGCAAATGTGCACGGTTTGTTTCTGGATGTTTAGGGGAGTTGCTTTTGCTTCAGTGTTAGTCAGGTAATTGGAGTGGAGAAGTTTTTTTTACCTCATTTACATTTCGTTTATTATTTTATTTCTTATGGAAATGTAATCTCTATTTTGTTTTTTATTAAAGTGGAGTTGTTTACTTGAAGTAGATTACAGAGGGGAAAAGAGCGTGAAGCTTATGGCTTCATTACTTAGGAATCTACAGTTACCATTAGTTATAAAACCAAGAAAAAAAGTATAAGGAAGTAATGATCCTGAATTGTAGAAAAATGTTCCTATAATAGGATAGTACAGTAACCAGTATAAAGTTTAAAGCATATGTCCTTAATATTTTTTCATCTATAATTTTTTGTTTTATACTTTAAGCAGTTTTAAAAATGTAACATTTACACTTTTATTTGAGTAGAAAGCTTAAGTTGCGTTCCCCACATCACAAATCGTTTTCAGATAAACCTCACTGCTGTCACATCAAATGCATTGTTTTTGTTGGTAATTGTTCATTATTGGATAAACTGATCCCTAATTGCTTTTGAATGTTACCAAAGACTGCTGTTACCCATCTGTGTGTTATATATAATTTCTACTGATAATCTGATGGACATCCCCTCAGTGCATCAACAGCTGAGCTAATGGACTGAACATTATCAGACTCTACCTCATGAACTCATTTGGACTCTTTTATGTTTGCTCTGTTAATTCCGGTAGCTTGTAGTGTTTGCATAGTTTATTGAACATATTAATACTGTGATAGGGATTATCAGGTTCAATAAAGTGCTTCTTTTGTTTTAATCATGATAGTCTGTGAGTATTTATACAGCAGTGACCGGTTGTCTAAAGGGATCAGAGCCTACTTCCTTTGACTTAACAACTTCAATAGACAGAGACAAATATTTCCCTTTTGTTTAATGATTAATAACTACTATTATAAACCAAGTTATTGACATTTACTGATAGTGAAGACATCTTGGACATTAACAACTGGTCCAATATATCCAGCCACAAAGCTAAGCAGTTGATAACACCTGCTAATTGAGCAAATTGTCAGTTATAATCATTTTACTATTGATTTAATTGACATATCAATGAACTAAAACTTCCAGATCTAGTTAATAATATATTTCTCATCTAACGGTAAAATTGCACAACAATGCTATAGAACAGCATTGGGCTATCTGGAATGGCATACAGTTTTGAATAGAAACTGAATTTTTTCTGAAATCTATCTTGTCTGACATGTCTTCATCCTTTTTAGTAAAAACACACACAAAAAAAACACGTTAGATTTATCTATGTATAAATCTTAATGGGTTTCAGGGATTTTAGGCTCATTTGTACATGAAAAGTCTGAACGGCTCAGTAGTTAGCAGTAGTAGTTTGGTTTAAATCATGTTATCTGCTTGAAGCTTCATAGTGCAACACGTATTAAAGATCTCATTAATAAAAAGGATTGCTTTATGTGTATTTTTGCGTATCACCTTGAAAGATCGTAGAGTCTGCACAGGAATTGGCTCCAAGCTGCCATAAACGAAGTCTTTCTCCCTCGGCGTGCAGGCCTCTATCTGTTGAAATGTAATTAGCATGCGTCCCTGATGCACCATGTACATGTTGTACTCCTGTGGAGTGAGTTCCTGGCCCAGGCGCTCCAGAACTCCCTCCTGCCAGGGAGCTAGGCCGGTCTTACTGGTGTCAGGTGGAGGCAAGCTTCTGGCTGCAGCAGAGCTATCCGCCTCTGCTTTTTTCTGCCTCTCCTGATCTGCACCTCTTTGCCCTCTTCCCTCCTCTGCAGGGTTTTGGTCTTGTTTTGGATTTTCTAAATTTTCCTGAGCGACAGCACAGGCCCGTTTCTCCATGCTGAACATCATCTCAAACAGGTTGTATTTCTCTGTGTTGATAGTTGGGGTTTGTGTGACATTGCTCTGAGCAGTTTCATCCACAGAATTACTTTCACACATGCTGCTTCCAGGAATGTCTGCAAAGGAAAAAAGGCATAGCATATTTATATAATAAGTTTCCCATGTTTTGTTTAGATTTCAAGCATTTTTCTTAATTTAACCAACCTTCACTGTCCTTTTGGTCTAGAAAACTAAACCCTCCAACTGCTGCATCCTCTTTAATCTCTTCCTTTATTTCCTCTTGCTCTGGCTCTGTGAGCTCTGGGTAAAGTGGCTTCATTTGAAGGCGTGTGTATAGGTCTGACTGATCAACTAAAGCCATGGCAACATCCAGAGCATTTCCCTGGGTGTCATCTCCCTTCATTATATTGTGCTGCAGGGCACTAAAGCCATGTGGGTTAGTCTCATCTATTGGCCAGCGCAGCCACTCCATGGAGCAGCTCACCACACTGGCCGGACACACCTGGAGGTGAGCCGCCCGTGAGGAGCGGGGAAGCTGGACCATACAGCCGTACTCTGCGTTGAGGCAGGGCACCCTGACATTGGGGCAAAGCAGCAGGTGATCCTCTTCTTTGCACAGGTGGTATACTGCTCCACAGAGGAGACGGCAGGGAGCGAGAGCACAGCTCACACCAACCTCCACTCGAGCTCTGCAGCGCCGACTGTAGCAGGAGTCACAGTGGAGATGCTGCCGGGTCCTGGAGGCTCGAGAACGATGACTCTATAAGAAAACAGCATAAATAAGGTGTCATTTGTCTTCTATTTGTGAATGAGCCTTCTTAGGTTTTCATCAGAATGATTCCCACATAGAGTCCGTGATCAGATAGTATGTATTATGTATTATTCAGATCCACAACAGAAATGAAACAAAATTATACACATTTAGATTAAAATGGACAAAACCAACTACTGTATTTGCTTGTTGTTGTAATATGTCACCTGGGGTGAATTGATTTTGTAGAAGTGTTTGCATACTTGACTAATATTTGGGTCATCAGACGATTCTTATGGGTCAAAAGGGAAAAAGTTTGGGATTATAAATCATAGAGCATCTCAACAGGGCCAAGGGTCATTTTTGGCCCCAAGAATCATTTTGTGTCACTCTCAACTATAAATCAAGAATGGTATTATTACTGGTTTTTCAACTTTGTCTGAAAGAAAAT